GTTTTTGTTTCAATATAGTTTGAATCCTCGTGTTTGGCAAATTTGAATATCAACCGGAATCTTATTATAGAAGTGTATATATTGCCCCTTGAATGAATTTGTGACTTATGAAGACGACTGTCAAGAACAGCCAGTTTATTTTTATTCCTCGTGTTAATATTATGTTTGTCACTATTTTTCATTAAAAAAATACTATCTTCTTTTGTTAATTAAATTTTATTACAATTATTTTTTGTGAAATTACTCCACTAGCTTGTTATAATTATTAACATCAATTTAACAATGAAGGAATTAATGCTTACATTGCATCCCCCTGACATCTTTCAGATACTCTGTGGCCGGACGAATTGCCCAAATCGGCAATCAATTAATCAATCTATACACCAATCTTTAGCCCATTGCATGTTATTTTGGAGATCTTCAAATGTTATTTAGTCAAAGACGCACCGGATTGGAATCCGCGCCCCGGCGTCGCCAGAGAAATTGTACTGTTAAAATAACAGCTTGATGAATTCACCTATTTGCACTCAACATAAGTGTTTTTCAAAGGTTAGGCTGCGAACGTAAAGGGGTGTCACCGGCACTCAATGCTTGATACTTTTCAATAACTTCGTAGGTAATGAGTACCTACTTCCTATAACTAGGGATCGAAAGAAGTAACCCGAGGGCGTATAAGTTCGGTATAAAATTGAACACAAAATGAGAACATTAGTGAGAATTTACAACATATACCTGTAAAATTGTCCATATCGGTAACTGGAAAAAATGCACAGTGTAAATTCTATCGTGTATGCATCGATTTTATGTTCAGTTTTGCAGTGAAACGCCCATACCGATTACCTACCTTTTTCGCTCTAACTATAAAATGGTCAGCAATGTTTCATAGTCTACGCCGTATAACCCTTCGCTATTATGCCTTATTTTTATGTAGTAAGTTTTTTGTTAATAAAAGAAAGTAAATAATTAAAAAAATTCGTAATAGACTCTTTTGCCTCTATTATGACTTTACAGTATTGAAGCCGCTATCATTTGAGTAGAATGTTTGTATTGCACAATTGCACACCGTGTGCGATAGTGTCACATGTCGAATGTTAATTTTTTTTAATTATAGCAATATATTTAGTCTAAAGATATTTCTCATGAGTGATCGGTAGTCATGTGGTGGTAGATGGCCATGTGAGCAGACTTCTAGCGCTTTTTCGGACTGCGTTGACACACGTGCCAGCTACACCGCGCCGTATTTTCCACAATCCATTCTTATGCTTAGAGGACACTGATCCCTTTCTCGCTGCTATGAAAAAACAAGCAAAAGATGAAATTGATAATCTCAGACAGAGTACTAAAAAAACCGACCTCAAAAGTACGTGTACCTCTATTTGCCAAGTTTTATTAAAATATTCCCTAGTTCGCCACTATACAGGACTTGACACAGGAGATAATAAAAATCGGTTTTCACTACACAAAGTATATTGAGAGAAAAACGCCTTGAATTGGAGAATAGCAAAACCAACCATTAAAATAATTGCTCCTTAAGTAAAATTGAGACGCTATTTATGAAAATGAATGCTCAAGCGTGATCAGCGTCCCTTAGAGGTGGATGATTTTTTTCAAAATGTAATGGGACCACTATGGAGGTACCCTCTTTCCAACAAAGAAAGAATCATGAAAATCGGTTCACAAATACCGAAGTTATCGCGTAACATACATACAAAAAAAAAAAATATACAGTCGAATTGAGAACCTCCTCCTTTTTTTGAAGTCTGTTAAAAATGAAAATAGTTTTTATTTCTTTTTCACAAAAACTTAAATTAGAATTTACGAATTTTGGATCTTCCTAGTAGGTATCATCTGCATGTATTCTAAGACTCACTCTTCCAATATTCTTTAGTATACAGAAATAAACCTTACTTGGTTTCTATAATGTACTAAAAATTATTACAATTTCAAGAATTTGAATTTGAATAGAGTAACATAATTTTTCATGAGGTAATAATGATACTAATAATAATAACAGCACACACTATACCCAACGTCACCCATTAGGATGTTCCCAAGATAATAACAACAATAATAATAATATGGGTACCTTAAGGGTGGGATATTTTCTCCGTTTCATCATAAATAGAAAGATAATATAAAGGTCGAACTCATAGAAAAAATCCTTTGATCTGATAGGACGTGTCGCCCAGTAGGGCTAGTACGACACGGCACCGGGGCGGCGGCGCGACTTGCGCAAGAGCGACCTAAAGCGCAAGATCTCTAAGGGAGAACAGCAGTATTTCAAGTTTTATGTCGCTCTCGCGCAAGTCGCGGCCTGTCGTGTTAGCACTACTGGTATGTGGTCATCGTCTCACGTGGATATTTGCGACATCAGATGAGCTGCTTATGCGTTGCCAGCTTTTAGTTCTGTAAACACGCTTTTTGAAGAACCCCATGTCATAGCGCAAAGGAAATACTTAAAGAGGAAGATTATTCTACATCTTGCAGGTTCGAGGAAGGAACGAACGAGATGCCTGCGCGGTGTTACAATGCCAGGGATCTAAGATATGACGGATGGACTCCACTCTTTTGGCGGGAAAAGCGATTTTTTAGTAGTGTCAGTTATGAAGTCGATGTGTTATATGGCAAATTGTACAGTGATCGCATAAAAAACTACAATTGCCATAGAAATAAACATTTTACGCAGACTTTAGACTCATACTTGGTACTTGGTACTTGGTGTAACGGGCTAGTGTCCGCAACTCGACGTCAAGGCGCCTATTAGACTCATAACGGGGGTATAAACGTAATAAGATAAATATTTTTATTTTATAGAATCAATTTGATGCCGCATTTGAAGAAGTTGTTCGTGAAGTGTTGTGAAGTGTGTCACTTAACTTCTTTTCAAAAACACTTCTTTTTGTTTGATATGGGAATGCACTTTTTCTTTGGCGCGTTATTTTCCTGGCGTATCCTTCCCAAACTTATGTCGTCGCAAGGTATAAATGTTATTGAAGGAATATATATATCGACATTATTTTAAATAGAACATGACTCGTATATATTTAGTTATCATAGCTGCAGTTGTCGCTGGTAGCTTTTTTAAAGATTTTCTGATAATAAATTGCGCAATAGTAAAACCAAAATGAATACAAAGAGATTTATAAATAAATAAAATCAATAAAATTCATATACAATTAATGATCATGTCTTATTGAAAAGCACTATTTATTATATTTGCAAGTTATTATGAAAATCTCTAGGTGATCTGTGATTATTTAAGTTGACATTTTTACTAATTTACCTAGGTACCTATACGCAGATTTTGATTAGAAGTTCCGGTAATAAAGTTTTTATTGTCATGGAACAAAGAGAAAATCATTCAGTAGTTCCATGACAATGAAACTGCTAAAGGAAACAATTTTCTATTTCTATGACATAAAAACTTTAATTAAATTTAAATTGAATTGATATTCAATTTTTTTGTGAAATTGCTCCACTAGTATTTGTACTAGTGGAGCAATTTCACAAAAAATTGATCTTTGATCGAACACTAAGGGTCATATTCCAGAACTCAACTCAATTGACTGAGACTTGAGTACGATTTCAACTGGAAATACGACCCTAATGGCAAGGACTTGAGTTTGATTTTCAGTGCTCACTGCAATATTCAAGTCCTGACTTGAGTATTGAGTAGAGTTCTGGAATACGACCCTAAGTAGTTTAGTTAGCATTACGTCTGGTTTGGTTTGCTAGGAGACGTTGGCGTCGATTCGAATCCGGCTGCATCGAAGGAATTTTTTCTAACTGTTCGATCTTTGTATTAATAATTATAATAAAAACTTTGCTATGGGAACTAAGCAGCTCTGCCAGCTCTCCGCCAACAACGTTTATTCCTGAGTGTACAGTGTGGTGTTATGTATGTACTATTACTTTCTTAAAGTGACCGACTAATGACTTAAATCTGAAAGTGTAACTTGCTTTGTCATTAAAGTAACATCCCTATCCAAATAACTAACAGAACGCTACGCTGTCTACGAAATGCAGCTCACTCAGGTGATCATGATCTGATCGTTGTGAACAAACTTACAACCTTATTGTGACAAGCTGTTGAATATTCATGTTAAGCCTCTCACGTTGAAGGTATAAAATGAGCATCAGCTTGGATGATAAATTATTCTCATCGTGCTTGTGCTACAGAGTGGCAAGGTGAGAAAAAAATTCATTATAAAGCCTGTTTCTTTATTATAATAAAGTATACAACGATGCGCACTTTATTTTTAACCGACTTCAAAAAAGGAGGAGGTTCTCAATTCGACTGTATGTTTTTTAATTTAATTTTTTTTGTATGTATGTTACGCGATAACTCCGGTATTTGTGTACCGATTTTCATGATAATTTTTTTTGTTAGAAAGGAGGTACTTCTATAGTAGTCCCATTTCATTTTGAAGAAAATCACCCACCTCTAAGGGTGGCTGTTCACGCATGAAGATTCATTTTTATAAATAGCGCCTAAATTTTACTTAAGGAGCAATTATTTTAAAGCTTGATTTTGCTATTTCTCCAATTCAAGGCGATTTTCTCTCAATATACTTTGAGTAGTGAGAACCGTTTTTTAAGTCCTGTATAGTGACGAACTAGGGAATATTTCAATAAAACTTAGCAAATAGACGTAATTCCACGTACGAGGTCGGTTTTTTTTTAATTTTGAATCGTTTTCAAATTCCCATTTCGTTCACAATTTTCATATTTGTACTATCTGTCATCACTTCCATCAAAATTCATGAAAAGAGACGTGCCCATAAATTACATATCACCTGCATTTCCTTATTGTAAAACTTTCGGGGTGAGCATTGTGTCATGTGTTAGTTACTTTTATAGGGAGTGTTTTATAATAGTATTAACTGTGTTCCGGTTTTGAAGGGAAGGTTGCTGGTGAAATTACAGGCACATGGGACTTGTCAACTTATGTCTCAGGGTGACGGGCGCAGTGGCAGTGCCTCTCGGATCTTTGCGATTTAAAGCTCTGAGTGGCACTGTAAGTGTTATGGACAGCCGTGTAGCTTAACATCAGGCGCTCGACTTGTTCGTCCCGTCATTTAAGTGACGGGACGACAATATTAATATTATCATAAAAAAAACTTTCGTACAGTTACAGGCTTTCTTTTTCACTTTTATCATCTCTTATATTAATGTGGACCGAGTTTTCTGTATTCTTAATTAAGGCTTCTAGAATGAAGTCCCCTACCCCATAGTAGACATTTTTTATCATTTTATGTTACAATGACTATCAGTACTTAATATCGATCAATGACTTTCATCGATATTAAGTACTCATTATTATTATTATTTTATTTTAATTATACCAATTATGAATTTGTATTACAATTTTTTCAAAATTTTTTTTACAGTTACTAATTATTATGTTTTTAAATATTTTTATAATGTACATAATACACACGTGATAAACACATATGCACGCTACATTTACCTCACAATGTTTTTGTTTTTGATGCACCGCAACGCGCTACTCTCGAAGGTGGTGGCTGAAAATCAGTTGAGCAAATTTTGCACTGAGGCACGACCTATTTGGCTTGCTTTAGCATACACAAGCTGTTCATAATTAGGTTAATATTATGTTTTTATGCTTTTTTCTTTTTAATTTTGATTTCTGTGTGTCTCTTTTAATCAATTTACTCTATTATATTGTTGTGTGTATGATGCAAGACAATAAACGTTTTATCTATCTATCTATCTATCTATCTATTCTCATTTCTCTAAGGTTAGGTTAGGTTAGTAAGCTAGGAGCTAACTTAAGTTTTGTTGAATCAGGCCCATTATCTAAAGCAGCGTTACGAAGATCTGTATTTCTTCCACCATTAAGCTTAAAACACACAGAGAACAGGTGCGGGTCTGGTCGGGACCGCGGCGGCTCTAATACTGTGCATTTATTTACATGGACGACAACACACCAAACGCGGGCGCGTAAGCGCGCTATGTGTGTTTCACGCTTTAGTGTACCGTACTTTTGAAACCTCCACGCCGCTAAATCATCATTAGTTGTTGAAACAGGTCTCCTTTCCGTTTCAATATACAATAGGCCTCAAATCGTCGCATTGCGCTTCAAGGTGAACCTATCACTTACTGGTTCATCATCCAAAATACCTATTCAAGAAACTTAAATGAGTTAAAGATGTTCAAGAAAGGAATACACGTTGTAGAGCTGCAAATCTTTTGGTAATCCCTAAGCACAAAATACTAGGGTTCAATGGGCTGTTTCAAAAATATTTTGCCACCATACTTAACAGAAAGTCCATATACACAATTAAACACCAACTAAAAAGTAATGCTGGCCACACAGAAAGAGAACCCCTAGACCAGATTTGTTATATGTGGCAATAGACGTATTCATTAATTTTAAATGCTTTTATATTTATCGTGTTACATCAGTTATTCAGGTTTACAATTACACGAATAATGGATCAACATGGTACGAGTAAAATGTTAATTTTTTAATTTTAATTTTTAATAATTCAGATATTTTTATTAGAGAATGGTAGGTTTTTAAATTTTTTTTTTACTAGTACCTCTATATTATATTATAGATTAGTCCACTAAGTTTACGGAACAGGCCCAAAATGTAAATGTGTTTACTAAACTCGGGGGCAGGCTGAAAACAAGTGCTGACCCACTTCTATCGTTCCGTGAACGCTGACATTGGTCCTCACACACAAATCACTTAGTTTTTTTTAAATATTTTGTAGATAATCGTGTTTTCTTTTGTTACCTATGTATTTTATGCGTGTGGAAATGAATGGTTTAAATAGTTTAAGTCAACCCATTTATACATTCCACTGCTGGGCATGGTCTCCTCTCAGGCGAAGGTTTAGGCCATAGATCGCCACACTGGCCCAAAATTTTAGACATTTTCCGAGGGTTGTGAACTTTGTTCGACGTGCAGGTTTTACCGAAAAGCTCTTGGTGAATTTCCAATTCATTTAAACAAAATACTTACTGGATTATAGCTATTAATATTTAATAAATATGACTTTTTAAAATGAAATACAATGTTCTAGATGAATCCACAAAAGTTCTTGTCGGTCTTCGCTGTTATCTTGACTCTATCAGCATGTACTGCTCAACTGGGTGGTAAGAATGACATCCGGGAACATAATAACAAGATCTACTGTGGCAAAAAACTAGCCAAGGTCATGGCTGCCATTTGTTATACGGAAGAAGCTGTCAAACGCATTGAGTCTGCTACTATGAATGGTGAGTACATATTGTACTTACTAGATATATACTAAGACGAGAGCCTTACTAGACTGAGAAATCTCGCTGCATTCTTGTGTCACAGGGAAAAAATATAGAGACTCGGTGCAGTCTCGAAAATCCCGGGAAAATCGAGACTTTGTAGACTGTCAAAAGTAGGTTTCCATACTTATAAGCCTCGGTATTTAGACAGTCAAAACATGGTATTTTAATTAAGTTCTTTATTACTCAAATTATTAAATTAAAAAATATTTATGAAAGTTTGGGTACATAAGAAACAACGGGCGTTTAATATAGTTCCGGTTAGAGAGGACAGATTACATACACAGATTGTAATAAATTCCACTTACAGTGTTGCCATGTTCATGTAACCAGATTAAGGAATTACTATTGGTTTAGTAGATTTTTAATACTTTTAAATTAAGTGACTTATACATAATACAATAATAACAACATGGTTCCAATATTTTCTTCGAACACTTTATCGCATACTGCAAATTGAAAAATAGAGGTAAAAGTGGGTAGTGTAGAAAAATTGTAGATAAGAGTTTATGGAGCACACGGCGTATTTTAAGCGCGCCGATGATGCGCATTTACAAACGCGCGTTTACGGCGCTGTAAACACGCGTCGTCTGCGTGTAAAGTAGTCGTCTGTGTGATTAAAACGCGCGCAAACATGGCGTTGCAAGCAAGAAGCTTATATACTCCACTGGAGTTTACACTTACAATTTCATACATTTTGTCATTTCAAGAACTAACTGAAATTAACAAATAAAACTAAAATTAAAACTATCTCTTATCAAAATGCGCGATAGACACGCGAGTCGTCGGCGCGTTTAAAATACGCCGTGTGCAAAGGCTCTAAATATTTAAATTCCGAACTCGTCGTTTAGGATTATGGGTACTTACTACTTATGCTAAGCACTTGTCGATGACCTGGAATACGAACCTTTCCAAACTCTATTCCATTACCATTATTTTTGCGAATTTATCTTCGAACGTTTTTGGCCGCATTTTCTTTCAAAGCTTATACTTAATAACGACAAAATCAATTACAGACGCAATCCTTAACCCCTACTACAAGACGCAAGACGCAGTCTACGGGTTACCATGGGTATTGCCGCAGAAAGTCCAAGGCATTGGATCTATGGCGTCTCACTTCAAGGGCAATATATATGCAAGCATTGTTGCTGAATGCTGCGAGAAGCCTTGCAGCTTCGACGAACTCTTGAATTATTGTTAAGTATTTTATATAAGTAATATTGTTTATACGTTTATTAAGTCGGTCGGGTACACGATACAGCAATAAGAATTGCCTGATTAATAACTATCGCAATATTTTTAATTACAAAATTGTTTGTTTTCGTGGAACAGAATTTCTACCCCGTTCATGGATAGTACTTAAGTAATACCGCACTTCAAAATGTCACTACTTTTCTTTGTGTCTTAGTGCTTATATTGACTGTTGTTGTTACTTGCCTTGTGACTACATTTTATGTCCCGGATTTTTTCGGGATTCGGGAAATCACATGAGTAGATTAAACATAACATAACAAAACAAAACATAGTTATTTGGGATAGGTTAAGTCAGTAGGTAGACTACATTTATCTAAACTTTGCGATGAGTTGCTGCAAATGTAGTCGTCAGGCAGTCTTCACTTTCTGTCTCTGTTTATCGAAGTTTAAGTAAATACTCTACTGTTCCGATCACTGTTTATCATTGACGGCTGATTCCGGTGACATTCTTTTGTAAAAGAAAGTACGGCTGTGACAGTAGTAGAATGATTGCCGTTGTCATATTGAATTACTTAAAACCTAAATGAGTTTTAGAGAAATAAAATAGGTAAATGAAACTTACTTTTTCTGTTACAAAGTTCAATGGCACTGACATATATTGCTGTCACCTCATGCAAACATGGTGTCCACCGTACTGTCTTAATTTAGTACACATTAAATATGCATGTGTAACGTCCACAAATATATGCGTTTAAATCATTGTTTAAATCATTGAATTTTGTCAGTACATTGTGAATACTTCTCTATGGAGAAGCAGTAGACGGAAACTACACAGAAAACACTTGGAAATTGCATTGCTAAGCCCGTAGTTGGGATTTTTGAGATTCATACATCGAAACGGCGTACTATCATAATTACTCAGATATTTAATTTTACCGTAAACGCTGTTACTGTCCACACACGGGCCAAATGGCCCATTTCTTTAGTACTTTATAAAATTAGGTCATAATATTGGTAATTCGTAGGTACTAGTCAATAAGAATTTGTAAGTCAACGATGTTACTTATATTATCCGGGAATATCGTGTTATTTTGGCGTATGTACATTTCTGTCGCGTGTTACCGATACATAATAGAGAATGAGATCGTGACAGCACGTACACGCGTAGCGATCATGTTATAAGGTATCCAACTTCGATATTTCGTCGGTGTTTTGTAGAAAGCGCCATTTTGAAAAAAAAATCAGTGAAGCATGTTTTAGGTTTTAATTACTACTTTAAAATATTTATGTCCTGTTTTAAAATTCAATTTTGGGTTTGATTAAGTTTAAGTTTTAAAACTGAATTTAAAACAGGACTTGAATATTTGAAAACCTAAAACAACTAAAACATTTCCCCTGAAAAATGTTTCGAAATGGCGCTTTTACCCCTTCTACAAAACACCGACAATTTCTAAATGATAGCGTCAATATCCCGTCCGATACGCCAAAATGACAGAAGTGGTAGATCCAGCCTTATATGTAAAGGTGATCTACAAGGTTGACTTTCACCTGAAATAAATTTGTGCAAATCAAGGATGCGTTTGTAATGTGTAAGGAAGAGAAAATGGTACTCCATGCTCGCGGCTTGTACAGGGTACGGTTTTCCCTCAAACGCGTAATTTATTTGAATTAGTCAACTTGCGAGGATGTTCAACTGTATCGGCGGAGTTAGTTTGTGGAGTATAGTTTTTATTTTTAATGTTAGTGTAGATATATAGATTCGTTCGTTCGATGACGTAAATTTTAGTTTTAATGATATAATTCACATCGATATAATTCACAATGATATAATTTTCATTTTGATGTGGCCACAAAATTGTTGTTCAATACAAAAATTATTGTCTTTGCGAACTGTGAAATTCAGGATCCTAGGTGTAGCCTCAGAGTAGCATAATTTATTGTAAAAGTCCCGTCACGTACCTGTTCTATCGTCAGTGTGGCGCGTGTACATATTTTTCGAAATATCTTTGTATGGTCATCAGACCATATATATCAATATACTTACAGATTTCCAAGAACTAATTCATTGATATACAATTGATTCTTATAACTGCCTCCGTGGCCGAACGGTTACCATGCCGGACTGCCACGCAGAGGTCCCAGGTTCGATTCCCGGGCCGGGAGAAATATTTGTATGACCTACATTTATTTCTCTCGTGAGTTTGGGTGTAATTTGTGGTTGTCTATGTGTGTGTCCATGGCACCCGGGACACAGGGTTTCCCTAGTGCGGGGCCATGTTGAGTGTGTGCGTTATTATTATTATTATTATTATTGTAATTCTGAAGAATATACTCACGATTCTGATGTTTGCTTTAGTTTTTGGCATTATTGTTGACTAGTTAATATCACTTTTTAGGTTTGACTGCGTAGACCGTGCTAATTAAAGAAACAAGACGCCACATTCTTTCCTCCACTAGAACGGCAATATAAAACGATGTTTTCGTCTTTTCATAAAGTTCTTAGTCTTTATTGTAATATAAAAGGAACTTTCTGAAGTTACGTTTACATTTATAGTTAGTACAGGCGTTCAAATTTCCGCAACAACATACAGAATAAACAAAAGTTATATTAAAACTAGTTTTAATATAACGTTATTAAAGTCTAGAAGTGGTGTATAGAGCTCAAAATATCTACTTATTTATATTACACTTTCCCGTCTTTGGTATTGTCGTTCCAAAATCATCTAAATGAAATTTTCAGCAAGGAAAGTATATAAATAAGTAACTACTATACATACTATTATGTTCTGCTTCCCAATGGATTAGGCAGACTTACTACGTCTCTGATAAACATTTTTCGCCATATTTCAAATTTTCATTTTTTGGTATGTTTCAAAGTGCGTTTCAAAAACATTTTGCCATTACTCAGTAATCCTTTTCAACCTTTCCCTTTAATTTTCTAGTCACTTCTATATTTACGTCGCCTATGTTGATCTTTTATCTATTTCGACCTTCCTAGTAGCCAAGTATAGATCCGATAATAAAGTTAAATGTAAGAAAATAATTCTAAGTAATTAGTAGTGTAATGGTATTTATTATTGACATAAATAATGACTTAAAAAAAAAAGAAGATAAATACCAAAACACTTATTATAAATATTTGGAAAATCCGCAATGGTGTCTACGCAGGGTATTGGTAGATCGTCAAAACGGCTGCGATATTTCAATCAATGTAGTTTCCCTTAGTTTAAACTGATTTGTAGTTAAATTCGATTTCAAAGCAAAAATACTTTTATTATACAAGGTGTCAACATGTAAACTTTAAAATAATCTGGATACTGATACATATACATTGATAGTTTTTTCCAGAAACCTTTAGAACGGGAATCCGAAACCTTATGTTCAATGTACTTGGTCATATTACTGTTAAGCTCTATTTGTTTTTTATGTGAAATGTTAGCACAATAGGATAGGGTAGGTATTACGTATTAAGTACAAATGTTATCAGATTTGATTTATTAGTACGTTTTTTAACCTATTACCTAATGATTAGGTCATCTGTTATAAAATACTATTTGATTAGGTCTTTATCAAAGATAACCCAAGTGCAAATAGTACTTCATAAAAATCCATAATGTTGTATAAAACCAAATACATTTTATTGTTAAGATGCTAAACATTAAATAATAGATTGTTGTCGTGATATAGCAAAAATTGTTTTATTTCTGTTTTAGAAGTCTTGTAATCACGTTTCATTTATTCTTATAATATTTCGCTACCACTATTTACTAATTGTATTTGATATATTTGGCAAACAATCGCCATGTATACATAGTATGTGCGACAAAGTCAAACTCAGATAATCTTTGTTTCATATGTATTGATATTACATTTATTGCATTACTACGTGGTTTCCTTAGATTACGAATACACTGAAATTGTCCCTTATATTTTCGTAGCAGTAAAGCTCCTTGTGAAAGAATTCGTCCAGGTAAGTACCTTACTGCCACCTTACCTATTTCTACCGCCAATAATATTAGCATTACTGTGTTTTGAAGGGTGCTTGTGAAATTACCGGCACATGGGACTTCTTAACTCATGTCTCAGGGTAACATAAGTCTCGGGTTCAGAGCTTTGCGATTTAACGCCCTGAGTGGCACTGCAACTGTTATGGACAGACGTTATCATCAGGCGCACGACTTTTATTCGTCCCGTCACTTGATATTATAAAAAAAGTAGCATCCTGCTGAGGTATCGCGATATAAGCGAGCACACTCAAATAGTTAATTAATACATTTCATGCTTAAGTCAAAAATAATGATAATAGTACCTACAAATTTTATATTATGTAAACAATATTCAATTTTATGACAATAAATGTATATAGTATTAATTGTTGAAAATTATTTAAGTATTTGTGTATGCCTCCGTGACCAAACGGTTACTGTGCTGGTCTGCCACGCAGAGGACCCGGGTTCGATTGGGATAAATATTTGTACGGCCTACAATTATTTCTCTTGTAAGTTTGGGTATAATTCATGGTTGTCGATGTATGTGTTCATGGCACCCGTGATATAGGATTTTTCTAGTGCAGGGCTATGAGTGTGTATATTGTGTATATAAAGTGTATATAATTTAGTACTTTTGAAGCACGTTTTTAAATTTTTTTGGTTTTTTTGATGACTTTTGGATTGATTAAACTCTACTGCTCGTTCGTAAGGCAGATTTCCCTCTGAAGAATGAGTAAGAAAGTCTTGGAATAAATATGTACGCATATATAATAATACATACACACTTATTATTCATAACATTAATTTCAAACATCGTAAATCGAGACTACTGGCAAGAGCTAAACGGGTCATTGCCGCTATTTTTTGGCATCTAAGTACCTACGCAGAAGCTGGATAATAAACCTTTAGTACAAAGTTTTTATTTCACTATAGTTTTCATCCCCGTGAATGGCAAATTTTGAATATCAACCGGAATTTTATTATAGAAGCATGTACATTTTGTGTATGCGACTGTCAA